TTTCGGCCAGGCGCCAAGGGCCGCGCGTCCTCCCCCCCCCAGTGCTCTTGGCCAGTGCACACACGCTGCTGGAGCCCCAGAGCTTCGGCCCCCACCTGGGGCAGTGGGGTGTGGGCGGGCTCAGGCGCCGGTCCCGCTCCTGGGCAGTGAAGTCATCTGGCATCCAAAGGGGGTTGCGGAGCAGGATTGAGACCCCTGCGCCCATCTGAGTGGAGACCTCGTCTCGGTCTTCCAGGGATGTGCTACCGAGTGTTTGGCTTTCTGTGGCTGCACAGAGCCTGGTAAAGCAGCATTCTCCACACCCCGTCGGCACTGTTTTTATTGTGGTTGCCCCAGTCAGGTGGCAGGCCTTGGGTCCTGGGTGGTCAGCACCTCCGCAGCCTGGTCTGGCCCACCCCCTTTGCAAGGCACAGGGGCTGTAACTCGCACGGCTCTAGGCCTCCGAATTCCCCATGCCAGGGGGCACAGGCTGGGGAGCCGCTGTGTTCTGACTGTTCCCTGCTGCTGGCGTGGCTCTGTGGGAGCAGGGGCTGCAGGGTGTGGTTTAGAGGAGCTAGCCCTGTGCAGCACAGAGCTAACATGCAGCCTCCTGTGCGTGGGTCCTACGTCACAATCTGAGCCACTGGAGTTAGTCCAGACTTACCCGTCCTGGGAACTGGTCTTATTGCAGCTACGTTTTCGCCCAGATCCCAGCTCTTCCTGCGTAGGAGGTGTCCTTGAACAGACAGACAAACGCGGAAACAGACGGGCAGATGGACGCTGGACAGGCAGACTCTCTCGGATATCTAGTAGATGAATAACCAGTAGCACACCCATCCCCACAATATCTAGGGCAGCACCTCTTTCCCCACCTGCCAGTGAACGGCCGAGAGCAAAGGTCCCTGGAACATGTCGCTTTCCCCTTTCTGTTCTGCTTAGAAGAAGCACACGGGATCTTTTTCAGGGGAGAAGGCAATACACTGTGTTTGTTGAGCAAACTGTAGAGAAGCAGTGATAGAAATGTAGCCGTGTTAGTCTGGGGTAGTTGAAGCAAAATGCAGGACAATGTAGCACTTTAAAGACTAACAAGATGGTTTATTAGATGATGAGCTTTCGTGGGCCAGACCCACTTCCTCAGATCAAATAGTGGAAGAAAATAGTCACAACCATATACACCAAAGGATACAATTAAAAAAAATGAACAGATATGAAAAGGACAAATCACATTGCAGAACAGAGAGAAGCAGTAGAGAAGCAGTTAACATCTGCTTTGCGCGCGCGCACACACACTCTCTCTCTCCCTCTCGATGACCAAAGCCCTGAAACCATCACTGACTATTTCCCGTAGCGTCCCCCAGTGCATGGACAACCCCCCCCCCCGGAGGGGTAGGGTGGCTGTGTGCTCCCGTGAGTCAGCAACAGCCTTTCCGAGCCCTGATCACGTCAGTTGCACTTGCAGTCTGTGGACACACCCTATGCCACTGCCCATCTCCGCCTGTACAGACCTGATGGGCTGCTAGGAGTAGTGACACTGTCGCGAAACGCTGCGGGAGCTGCAAGGAGAGGGACGGGTGTTTGCCGGTCCCCACTGCCAGGCAGCATGAGGAGATTAGGCTGCACGGGGAGGTAAGACGGTGGCAAGGGGGAGAGAAGTGGTCGGGAGGTGCGATCAAGACACTGCTCTGTGGGTGTCTGGTTTCTGATGGTTCCTGCGTCTCAGCTCAGCCCTGGCTTGATCCAGGGCCAGGAATTAGTGGCAAGCTGAGTGTTTCTTGCCGGGACCCAGGTGTGGGTGCAAAGCTGCCCTGGCGCCGTGAAGGGTACTTCCAGTTAAGCACAGGGGGCGCTGGGGTGCTTTTGAGGCGGCTGGTCCCTCCCCCTTTGGGCCAAAGGCCCAACGTTTGTCCCGAGTCTCTCAGCCAGCACATGTACTGTTGGGAATTCCGGAGCATCGGAGCCTGGCCCTCGGATTGTGCACTTCCAGCGAGCCCCCTCTGAATGCTTTTATAGCCCGTCGCGCTGGGTCGTGTGGCCCCTCTGGGACTGATCCACCCATCGTTTGGCTCTTCTCCAGCTCCCAGCTGGAAGGTCCTTAGCTCACACTGTCACCGCTCACAGCAATGTAGGGCTGGAAGGGATCTCCAGCGGACATCTCGCCCATCCCTGTGCTAGGGTAGGAGTACGTATACCACGGCCGTCCCCTCCCGTGTTTGCCTGCCTGTGCGCCAGTAACGGGGATTCCACGCCCTCCCTCGGGAGCCCGCTTCCTGCTTACGAGTGAGAGCGCTTCTCATCCGCAGCCTCCGTCTCTCGCTGCCCTCTGGGCAGAGTGCTAAAACGGGCACAGCCCCCGCTGGTCTCCGAGGGGAGCCGTGAATAGTCTTGTGGCGCCTTGGTTGTCTGAGTCTGAGCTTTGGTTTCACCAACCAGCCGCGCCAAATGCAGACTCCTCTGGCAGGTTGACGACCTTAAACAGCCGCAGACACCCCTGGGAGCCTGCGGTCTGTCTGGTCACCGAGTCCGTGCCAGAGGGCCCCTACAGCCAAAGGTCCCAGCTACAGTCAGGTTGCTCCCAGTCCCTTACCCAGGCCAGCCGTGCCTTAGGTCTCCCCCCAGGCAGTGCTCACAGCCCGCCCTTCAATAAGCCTCACGAAGACGAAGTCAGTAGGAAAGGAAACGAGAGAGCTGAGTTATCTGTGAAGTGAATATGGGCTCGTGGGCTCTTGCTTTTGCCCTGGAAACTTTTTGGCCCCCTAGAGTGTCTACACTGTGAGGAAACACCCACAGCTGGGCCAGGCTCACTGATGGTCTCACAGAGCCAAGCTCCAGGGAGGTTTCACTGAAGTGTAGATGTCCAGGCTCTGGCTACAGCCCAACCTCTGGTACCCTCCCAGCTCACAGAGGCCCTGCAGTCCAGCCCAGCCCCATAAATACACTGCAGTGAAACATGCCTTTAGCTCGAGCCCTGCAATCCTGTGTCAGTGGAGCCGGGGCAGCCCTGGGTGTCTGTAGCAGTGTAGACGTACCCGCCTGGCCAAGCACCAGAGATCCTTAGCTCTGTGGGGGGGGAGGGGTCCCCTCCTGCCATGTGCTCTCAGCTGGTGTGTGATTCATCTTCACAGGAAGGGGAGCAGAACAATGAGCTTTTTGTCCTTTTGTTGACAATTCCTGTTGTAAGATCCCCCTAGAGCTTGTCTGGTCTGACTGGGTCTCCTCTTGGGGGAGGTGCCGAACCATTTCTGTAGCAGGACAGGTCTTCAGGCTAACTAATGCCTTCTCTTGAGTGTGGATTGATTTAGCCACAGGCCCCTGTGGGCTTTCCAGTCCTCCAGCGCTGTGAGCAGGCTCTAGGAATTAAAGGTTGTAGCCTGTGATTAAACCTGCAGAAATACAGCCAATCAAAATTAGCAGCCCTGCTCACGCTGCACCTGTGTAAATATTATACTCCAGCTGCTGCCAGGAGCTTAGCGCAGGCATTCGACAGAGGCCAGACAAAACTCGTCATTCTAATACCTGCCCTCTCAGTCCGGCCGCCTGTTGAGCCAGGCAGATTCCAGCAGTGGATGTGGCGACGTTCAGCCGAGCCGTGGGGACTTGGCAGGGCTGGGGCCTGCTGGGCCAGTCTCACACTCGTGTCCTGCCATCAGTGGAAGTGCAGGGCAAGTTAGCAACCACACACAGTGAAGAGTGCAGGTTTGTAGCGCTGAAGACTTGTCAGAGTCCCCTCTGCCCAGCCAGTCTTCTCATCTCTGCACTAAACTTGTCCAGCTTCCGGCGTTTCCTCACAGGCCAGGGTTTCTAAACTGATCATTTTTGTAGCTCCCCTCTGGACTCTCTGCATTTGTCCATGCTGCTTGGCCCAGCTCCATCGGTCCTGGGGTCAGTAACCAGCAACCATCGAAATGGCCTTTGTCACATTTCTCCTGCCGGCGCTCTGGTCTGGTGTGCCAGGGATGCCTGAGTCCGGTTAGCTCACCCACAACCACAGTGAAGAATTTTGCCACGTTTTTACACTCGGTTGACTCGACCGGGGAAAGACAGAGAAGTTCTAAGCTGCCTGCTGAGGTGCGGAGAGCTAAGCCTGCACCCGCCCTGGCATCCCTGCTTTGATGCTGCCAGGGCCAGCACGTTCCTTGTGTTATCCCGCAGTCGCACCAGAGATGCGTCTGGCCCCAGCTGTTTCCGTGTAGCAGCCTGCTTGGGTTCTTGCGCGGTAACAGGTGCACAGGCATAACTTGGGCCTAACGTCTCGAGTTCGTCATGGTGATTTGTCCATCAGCCAGACAAAATGAATCATTTGCTATTCACACCGGGCTGGATCTCCAGCTGGCCCAGCCCCTTCGACAGTGGGGAGACCATCGGCAGGTGAGCGGTGTCAGTTTGCACCCCTGGGGGACTGGGTCTTACGCTAGGACGGAACACAGTCGCCCCCAGCATGGGGGACTCCTTGGTGGAGCCCTGGGTGGCTGGCACCTCCAGGCATCCTGTTCCTGCAGAGGAACAAGACATGGGATCTTTGGCACATGCCATCTGCTTGGAGCCTTGGCCTTGGCTCCAGAGCATTGGGAGGTACTTCCCTCACCCCCCACAGTCAGGGCCGGATTAGCCATTAGGCACAATAGGCCTAGGGCCTAAAGAAAATTAATAATTGACTCAAAAATGAGAAAAGGAAACCGCTAAATCAAACTCAATAATTTGCTCTCTGTAGCCAAGAAGCAACATACAGGTGGGCTGTGTCTAGACTGGCCAGTTTTTCTGGAAAATCAGCCGCTTTTCCGGAAAAACTTGCCAGCTGTCTACACTGGCTGCTTGAATTTCCGCAAAAGCACTGACTTCCTACTGTCTGAAATCAGTGCTTTTTGCGGAAATACGATGCTGCTCCTGTTCGGGCAAAAGTCCTGTTTGCGCAAAACGTTTGCGCAAAAGGGCCAGTGTAGACAGCTGAGATTTGTTTTCCGCAAAAAAGCCCCGATGGCTAAAAGTGCTTTTGTGGAAAAGCGTCCGTGCCAATCTAGACACTCTTTTCTGAAAATGCTTTTAACGGAAAACTTCCATTAAAAGCATTTCCGGAAAATCATGCCAGTCTAGACGTAGCCTTGGTGTAACAGACAATTCAGTATCTACCATGCAAATCACAGATTGCATCATCAAATGCCATTTTCCTCCAAAGCTCACTCTCACCTAACAGCAGTGAGAGGGGAGAGAGAGTCGTCTGTGTCCCATGGGAGATCGAAGCCCGTCTTTTATACGTTTTGACTTTGGAAAAGGGCGCTCCCCTTCACTGTTTGTTCCCAAGAGGGCAAGGTGCGCTCTGACAGCCATGTTGTCATTTGGAAAACTCGGCACCAACTCCTCTGCTAGTTGTGCACTGATCATTTCTGCCACAGATTTCTTCTCTGCATACATACATGAGAACAACGGAAATTCATCAGTAAATGTACACGCGAGATCTGATGGCTAGTTATCGCTAATGCCCTTGGTCCCTCGTTTGAATATTTTTCATCTTCCATACCTACAAACTGGTTAAAATCTCTATTTATATCTAGGGGTTTTCATACGTCTGGTGCACAGCCTCACATGACCTCAGTATTGGTGTTGCACGTAAGCCGCCCAAGGATGGGAAATGTTAGAGATGTTGGAGGGAACACAGAAGGGGGCTGCTAAACTCTGCTCCTGGCGGGAAATGCACGGCGAGCATCAGCCAATGAATTGTTTCGTGAATGACGTTGAACCATCTTTGGCACAATATTGTGAAGTTCTCGGCTCTGATCTGTGGGTTTTACAGTTGTAGCAGTAACATCACTGTACTTCCCCTTAGCAGCTGATTAACGACCCTAAATAAAATCTAGCCACATCAGAGTGGCTGCTATTTCAGAATGAAGTACCACGAAGTGCTTGTGCGGTGGGCCACTCTCAGGAGTGGGCGATACAGTATAGGCAGCAGGACATTCTCGCTTAGATTTTTATATAGAATCACATTTAAAGGCCTCTGATTATGAGAGTGCCTAGGGCCCACAAAGACCTTAATTCAGCCCTGCCCACAGACCCTGCATGACAACAGTTCCCCTGCCTGGAGAGAGGGACCTCACAGCTCCCTTCTCTCCTGCCACCCATCGGCCAGCACGCTCATTGACCTCAGCACCGCACGAGTCCCCTGCGCATGGGCTTGGGGGAGTGACGTCCCTCGCTTTGCCAGGTGGGGTGGCTCCTCCAACTGCCAGGGCCAGGGGACCAGCCTCTCTGGACTGCCTGTTCTGTTCAGCCCCCTGCAGCTCCAGGCTGTGGCCGGTGACGGAGACAGGCCGCTGGGCTAGTGGGCGACTGGACTAGCCCCCTGCAGCGGTCCTTATGCTCGTTGCGGCTGGCGCACAGGGGCCAGAGTGCGGGCAGCAGGGGTTGTGCACACAGCGGGGGGGAGGCGAGGGGTTACACCCTTCCTGCCACAGGCACGGCGCACGGTTACAGAGAGTGGCATGGGAACAGGGTGCTTCAAACGGGGCAGATTTTCCTTTGGCCTCACTGCTTCTCCGTTCCTTCTGCAGGGCTGCCAGACGCCTGGGGCTGGGCGCGCTCTGCCTGGGAGTTGCTTTTCTAGCTGGGTTCTACCATGGGAAAGTGACCCTGCCCTAGTAAGTCCACTGGTCGCACAGGCAGCGTGCCGGCCTGCCCAGACAGGCCCCTTGTGGCGTATTGTTTGGGGGGTGGATGGGCCGCTCTGGGCCCCATTTGCATGTAGCACTGCAGTTGGGACCTTGGCAGAGGGCCGTGCGCCCAGGCGCAGGGGGCTGCGACAGCGCTGGCACAGTGAGGGGGAGCAGGAGCAGCCAGAGCCCCTCCCACCGCTCTGGCCAGGCAGGCTGGCGCTTGGTGCTCGGGGGGCAGGAGGTGGGTCTGGCTCCTCTGTGCCCTCTACAACCGCAGACCACGGGCTGGCTGGTGTCAGCTCTGAGCCCTAGTGACAGCAAGGGAGCGATGCTGGTTACCCCGGCGGGGGATGGGCCCAAGGGAGCGATGCTGGTTACCCCGGCGGGGGATGGGCCCAAGGGAGCGATGCTGGTTACCCCGGCGGGGGATGGGCCCAAGGGAGCGATGCTGGTTACCCCGGCGGGGGATGGGCCCAAGGGAGCGATGCTGGTTACCCCGGCGGGGGATGGGCCCAAGGGAGCGATGCTGGTTACCCCGGCGGGGGATGGGCCCAAGGGAGCGATGCTGGTTACCCCGGCGGGGGATGGGCCCAAGGGAGCGATGCTGGTTACCCCGGCGGGGGATGGGCCCAAGGGAGCGATGCTGGTTACCCCGGCGGGGGATGGGCCCAAGGGAGCGATGCTGGTTACCCCGGCGGGGGATGGGCCCAAGGGAGCGATGCTGGTTACCCCGGCGGGGGATGGGCCCAAGGGAGCGATGCTGGTTCCCCCGGCCGGGGGTGGGGCGCGGGGGGGCCG